TGGAGTCGAACTGGCGCTGCAGCAGTACCGAGGAGCTTGCTGAGCATGCTCGAGACGCAACGCCGGCCACCGCGAGGAGGCCAACTCGGCGGCAAGGGCGACGGCATCACCTCCAGCCTGAATGACCTGCAGCCCCGCGGCCACGCGGTGATGCTGCTCCAGCGTGCCGAAGGCGCGCAGAGACTGCCCCCCCCGCGCTGCTGGGAGCTCAATGGCAGCCCCCGTGCCGGCGCGGAGATCGTTGAGCAGCGCCGCGCCGTTGGCCATCAAGCGCCCGCGTCCACGCCCAGGCAAGTCCATCTGGAGCCACTGGCTGCGGCCCCTCCCACGGGCTGCACACGCGCACTCAGAACACTGGACCATGCCCACCTGCGCTGTCCAGCACGGCATGCCTCCAAATGTAAGCAGCACGATCTCGCCAGCCTCGTGGCCGGCAAATGCACCGACAGCGGGAGTCGTCTCCTGGCAGCGGGGGCAAGCCCGCGGCCCGCCCAGGTACGTCGCCGCCGCCGGACCACAAGAGCTCGTAAGAGGTGGCACAAGCAGCTCCGCGCAAGCTGCACGTCCACCTCGGAGAGGGCCGCTGGCGCCGCGAGGAGCCGACTCGGCGCTGGCGACGCAGGCGCGTCGGTCAGCGGGTCTGTCCAGGTGCCCTCGTTCTCGAGCACTTGCCGATCCGTGCATTTGACTGCGCGACGGGCCGGAGGGGAGCGTGAGGTTGGCGAGCGCGTCGATCCAGACGCCGAGCCCCCACTCCGATCTGACCTCCACGGCGGCACGGGCGCCCTGCAGAACGACGCGGCGAGCGTGGACTTGCGCATGGCGCTGGAAATCGAAAGCGACGCCAGCGCCGCCCCAGCGGAGGCGCAAGCTATCCACCCACCCGTCGACGAGCGAGCCTGCCGAAGGCGTGCCCCGCAGCAGTGCCCGAGTGACGATCCGCACGTGGAGCGGTTGGTCAGACGCCTCCGCGAGGCTGCTGAGGAGCTCCCCCAGCAAACCGAGGCTGGTGACCTGTCCCAGATCAGCGGCCCGCAGGCTGTCGAGGAGGCAATCGCCGTCGAGCAGGTGCAGGGCTGGGAACTGCCAGGCCGAGCGGCGGAGGGAACACAAGTACGGGTCGTGGATGGTGACGCTGCTGGCCTGCACTCTCGCTGCCCATCGGCCGTGCAGCGACCGCGCGTCGTGGCCCTGGGAGTTGAAAGCGAAGACGGCGTGCTCGAGGAGTCGCGGGGCCCCTGGGTCGCACGCTTGTCTGTCAATAGACCCCGCGTGACCGAATCTGCACCGGCCGATGGCGTGCCATGGGCAACCCAACCCATGCCGGCGCAGCACGGTCCGCCGGCTTCCGTGGCCAGGGGCCCGCTCAGGCGACGGTAGACCTGGCGCTGGGTTACCAGGTGCTGGTAGACCTGGTGTTGGTGCTGGTCGAGCTGGTGTTGGTGCTGGTCGAGCAGGTGCTGGTGCTGGGTGCTGGCGTTGGTGCTGGTCGAGCTGGTGTTGATTGCGGTGCTGTTCGGAGTGCTGGTCGTGCTGCTGGTCGCTGTGCTGGTCGTTGTGCTGGTGCTTGTGTTGGGCGGAGTGCTGGTCGTGGTCCTGGTCGTTGTGATGGTCGCTGTGCTGGTCGCTGTGCTGGTCGTGGTGCTGCTCGTGGCGCTGGTCGCTGTGCTGGTCGTGGTGTTTGTCGTCGAGCTGGTCGTGGCGCTGGTCTTTGCGCTGGTCGCTGTGTTGGTCGGAGTGCTGGCCGTTGTGTTGGTCGTTGTGCTGGTCGGACTGTTGGCCGTCGTGCTGGTTGGAGCGTCGAAGGCTCGCGTGTCTCCGCCACGCCGTCTGCGCCCGCGACGCAGCAGCCGCACGGTGCCCCGAAAAGTCCCCGGCCGCTTCAGCGAGAGGCGCGGAACGGCGTTGGGGCTCGTCTGGCGAGGCGCAGCGATCCTGGCGACGTGCGTCGCGCTGTGCGGCTCGGAGCGCCGGCGCGGAGAGGGCCGCTAACGCCTCGTCTGACATGTCGGCAAGTCCGCGGTGTTTTCCCACGGCGGCGCGTAGGAGCGTCTCTCGCGCTGCAGGGCTGAACCATCCGGCGCGCCGAAGCGCCACAGGGCCGTGGTGATCACTTACGCCTGTGTGGTGGCCCGCCAGGACGGCACGCTCGCGGGCCGTAGTCCCGCCGGGGGCCGCCGTCAGTGCTCGGCATTGCTCCTCGGCCCGCAACCGCCTCGCGGACTCGATCTGCAGACGCCCGCGCAAGGCCTCGATGTGCACGCGTCGCTGCCAACGTCGAAGGCGCGTGCGCGAGATGACGCAGCAAGGCTGGTCGGAGTGCTGGTCGGGGTGCTGGTCGCCGTGCTGGTAGTTGTGCTGGGCGTAGTGCTCGTCGTTGCGGTGGTGGGTGTGCTGGTCGGTGTGCTGGTCGTGGCGTTGGTTGTGGTGCAGGTCGTGGTGCTGGTCGTGATGCTCGTCGTGGTGCTGGTGGTGGTGCTGGTCGTTGTGGTGGTCGCTGTGCTGGTCGGAGTGCTGGTCGTTGTGCTGGTCGTTGCGCTGGTCGTTGTGCTGGTCTTCGTGCAGGTCGTTGCGCTGGTCGCGGTGCTGGTCGGAGTGTTGGTCGTGTTGCTGGTCGGAATGCTGGTCGTGGTGCTGGTCGGACTGCTGGTCGTGGAGCTCGTCGTTGTGCTGGTCGGAGTGCTGATCGCTGTGATGGTCGTTGCGCTGGTCGGAGTGCTGGTCGGAGTGTTGGTCGTGGCGCTGCTCGTTGTGGTGGTCGCTGTGCTGGTCGCTGTGCTGGTCGTGGCGCTGGTCGTGGCGCTGGTCGTTGCGCTGGTCGTGGTGCTGGTCGGAGTGCTGGCCGCTGCGCTGGTCGGAGTGTTGGTCGTGGCGCTGGTCGTTGTGCTGGTCGTGGTCGTGATCCTGGTACTTGCGCTGGTCGTTGTGCAGGCCGTTGTGCTGGTCGTTGTGCGGGTCGGAGTGCTGGTCGTTGCGCTGGTCGCTGTGCTGGTCGTTGTGGTCGGAGTGCTGGTCGCTGTGATGGTCGGTGCGCCGGTCGTGGTGCTGGTCGTTGCGCTGGTCGTGGTGTTCGTCGGGATGCTGGTCGTGGTGCTGTGCGTGGCTCTGGTCGGAGTGCTGGTCGTGGTGCTGGTCGTTGCGCTGGTCGTTGTGCTGGTCGCTGTGCTGGTCGGTGTGCTGGTCGTGGTGCCGGTCGTGGCGCTGGTCGTTGTGCTGGTCGGAGTGCTGGTCGTTTTGGTGGTCGTTGCGCTGGTCGGAGTGGTGGTCGTGGCGCTGGTCGCTGTGCTGGCCGGAGTGCTGGTCGTTGTGCTGGTCGTTGTGCTGGTCGCTGTGATGGTCGGTGCGCCGGTCGTGGTGCTGGTCGTTGCGCTGGTCGTGGTGTTCGGCGGGATGCTGGTCGTGGTGCTGTGCGTGGCTCTGGTCGGAGTGCTGGTCGTGGTGCTGGTCGTTGCGCTGGTCGTTGTGCTGGTCGCTGTGCTGGTCGGTGTGCTGGTCGTGGTGCCGGTCGTGGCGCTGGTCGTTGTGCTGGTCGGAGTGCTGGTCGTTTTGGTGGTCGTTGCGCTGGTCGGAGTGGTGGTCGTGGCGCTGGTCGCTGTGCTGGCCGGAGTGCTGGTCGTTGTGCTGGTCGTTGTGCTGGTCGGAGTGCTGGCCGTTGTGATGGTCGTTGTGCTGGTCGGAGTGTTGGTCGTGGCGCTGGTCGTGGTGCTGGTCGCAGTGGTGGCGCTGCAGTTTTGGGTGGCGCTGGTCATTCCCTACTCCTACCGTGCTGCCACTGCCGTCCACGCCTCCACTGCCGTCCCTCCCCACTCCTCTCACCGTGCTGCCAGTGCCGTCCCTCTCGCCGTACCGCACGATGAACGTGTTGATGAACGTGATGTCGTGCCTCGCGGGGTCTCTGATGTTGTTACCGAACGTCATGCAGTACGTGCCCCACTGCTCCTTGGCGACAGGATCACTCCTTTGCATCTGCTTGATTTGGTCCACTCTGGCCCTTATCGGCTCGGGCGCCCTCCGCGGGGGAGGCACGCGATGCCGCCATCCGTGGGAGAGGGGCTCGGCGCCGCTGGCCGCCGTCGTCGCGTCGGCAGCCGATGGCACCGCCGCAGCCATCCGTCTGGCGCCCCGCAGCCCCCAGGCTGCACCCGCGGGCGGCAGAGTGGCTTGAGCCAAATAGGCTACGGTGGTGGGGTTACGCAAAGCGTCTAGAACACAAACTGCACTTCGCGGCTGAACCTAGATCATGCGTGGCCGCCCAGCGATCACTTTGCATTGGTTCTTGAAAGGGACGGCGGGTGTGCTGGCGTGCTGCCTGCTGTGTACTGGCCAGGCCCACCAGACGCCATGATGACCACTCCACCGCGAGTGTGCAGTGGTCTTCGACAAAGGTGGTGGGGGCCGACACGTTTCCCGATGTACGCGGTCGCGCACCTTGGGCCTGTATTCGTTGCCGGCCCCCCTCTACAGTCGGGGCGTTGACCTAAGGAACCCTAAATAAGGAACGAGGCCCCTTTTTTTCCATTAGTTAAACTTCGATTTGCGATCGAAAACATAAGGAAAATCTGAAGCAAACTGTGAAACACTTAAGGAACGCGGAGCCCCTCCCCAACGAAAAGGGTTCCTTCTTCAGGGCCCCGACTGTAAAGCGCCTCGACCCTCGACCCTGGAGCTTGGAAGGGCGAGGGTCGAGCAGAAAAAGGTTGAGGCCGAAGGATCGCGTCCCTGAAGCCCCAGGCAGGCGGGGCCCCCTCCCACGGTGGGGGCCCAAAGAATATACACCACCACCACGTCGATTCCTCCTCCCCTTTGTCCAGCGAGGGGGAGGGGGGGAGGGAGGTGGTGGTGTATACTTTGGCCCCCGACACGGCAGTCCCCGGCGCCCTCCTCGCGCCAGCCAGGCCCCCACCGAGGCCGCCCCGCAGAGGCCCGAACGCCAGGCGGCGGCGGCGCCGCCCGAACGCGGCGCTGCTCGCGGCGGCAGTCGGCCGCGCTCGGCGCGCGTCCTGCCGCTGCTCGGTGGCCGTCTGCTTCCTGGGGGGGGGGGTCCGCGCGGGCGCGGGCCGCCGAGCGGGCGGCGGAGGGGAGGCCTGCCGCGGGAGCGCTCGCGGGCGCGGGGCCGGCCAGAAAGCTTTCCAGGACGGGCAGCGGCGACGGCAGAGGGGATTGAGAGGGGGCAGGGGAAGGGGCGCACGGGGAGAGGGAGAGAGAGCTCGAGGAAAGAGTGCGAAAAGGGCGTTCGGAGAGAATTGTTTGCCCGCGAGGCTGCAGTTGCTTCGAGGCCTTGGCGGCGATCTGGGAAAGAACTCAGACGACCGAGAAAGGACAAAGCGCCAACAAACCAGTCAGCACCGAACGACTCGCACTGTGCACGCCACGGGCCCAAATCAACGTGGATCAAAAACTGCGAAGGGCTGGCGCAAGAAAGAACCAACAAACAGAAAAGAACCGCCACGGTCGACGTCGTGCCTCCGTGGCGCTCTGCGTGGGTCATCAGAGTCCTCCCCAGCGCTAAGGGGCACGAGACAAGAGCTAGAGGTGGCCCGAGCGGCAGGTCCTCTGGACCTGGGACTGGGTCCTCGGCTCCTCCTATTCTTGACGCGACACGCGAGCGACCCTGGGAAGGACGGGGTCGAGCGACGAGGCAGGGAGGGGGGACAGGGGAGCAAAGGCAGAATCGGGGTCAACGCCACCAACAAGTACCCTGACAGAGTCTTTGCCATGCTGTGGGTGAAAGCCTCCTCTAAGACCGCGCTTCCACTTCGAAGCTTGCCGATTGCCCATTTGTTCCGCGCACCTCTTTAAATACAAGTTGGACTGCAGAGGCGAGCCCGTGCAGACAAGGAAACGCAACGCATACAAATTACCAGCATGGGTCGGTCGGAAAAGCTGAAAGCTACGAGATAGTGGTTGTTCACCGTAACCTTCTCCAAATCCAGACCATGGTCTTCCACTGGACACTTCTGAAGAGGCGTGGGGGGTAAACAGACGAAGGTCGGCGCAAAATTCCGCCTTAATCTCTTTGTGCCTTGAGACACCGTCCAAACAAGTCCCCCGAACAGGCTTTGGCACTGGCACGTACTCCGCAGGCCCCTCAGACTTGAGCGAAGGACAAAGCGGAATGACCGTCATGGCCAAAAGCACCAACATACTCGACCTGCCTGTCCACTTCACGCAGGAGCTGGCTGTCCACGGAGCGAAGTGAGGCGGCCTCCTTGGCACCCAGGTCGGCCAGACGATTGCCTCATATCAGGGAATCCGCCGACCCTGTCGGCGTGTGTGGGGCGCCTGTCTGGTCCCGTCGACGGGACGTTCCTTCCCCGTCGGGCGGGAGAGAGCACTCTCCCGTCGTCGGGGGGAGGAGTCCAGGGATTGAGGGAAATCGACCCGCGTCGCAATCACGGCAAAGGGAAGCCCCGGCGGGGGGCGGGGTCCAGGGGGGGGAGGGTGGAGGGGGGGGGGGGTCAGATTCGCATCGCCTCTGGGGGTCCTCCTCTCACACGCCGATCCTCCTCCAGTCCTCCTCTGGTCCTTCTCCCCAGTCGGGGGGGGGGAGTCCCGGGGGAGCGGAGCAGATACGCACCCGTCCCTGGGGGTCCTCCTCCCCCTCTCCGCCCCTCCGGCCTCCGTGCGCTCTCCCTCCCTGCTGCTCTCTTTTTCTTGCTCCTCTCCCTTGCTCTCTCTCTTGCTCCTTTCTCTCTCTCTCTCTCTCTCTCGTGTCTTCGTGCTCTGCTGCTCCTCTCTCTTGCTCCTTTTCCCTGGCTTTCGGAGGTCCGGGCAGACTTCTGAGATCGCCAGAGGTGCCCAGCTCCGATCCAGGAAGCCCGTGCGGAACTCCGATCCGGAAGCCGCGCGGAGCTGCGATCCGAGACTCCCAAGAGGTGTCGGGGAGGCCTCCAAGAGGCCCACTAGGGGTCCCAAGGATCCTCTGGGAGGCCTTCATTCCCCGGCCCAGGCGGCCCAGGCGAAGCGGGATGGGCTGGAAGTCTATGAAATAATGCGGGTGCCAAAAGGCAAGGGCTCAGCACAACGAATAGCAGCCATCCCTTTTCCCCCATCGCTCAGCTTACAATTTGCGGGTTTGGCTACTATGCAGTTCCCCGCGTGCCCAAAAACGAATTGGGCACTCGAACTGAGCCCTACAACAGGAGACCGAGTTTCACTGCATAGGCAAGTCCCACAGGCGTATATATAGTTTGAAACATGAGGATTCCAGCCTCCTTCTTCCCCTTTCTGGAAGGAGTCAACCCATCTAATTACGAATGGTTGACGTCTGGATGCATTCGGCTACATTCCCCTGATCAAGGCAACTCAGTCAAGAATCGGTTCTGGATAGGCTGGTGCTGATACGCGAAGCGTCAAGAACTCTGTCGTATTAACCACTTGCCCTGCTCTTGCATCCACCGAACTGACAAACTGACGCACAGCTGGCTCCACGATGCGAGACTGAAGACCGCCAGGCAGGCCGAGAATGTCACTCGAGACGTCGCCCAGGCGCACGGACACCACTGGAGGACACCAAGGAGAAGGCGTCGGAGAGACAGAGCCAAGAGGACAGGGGCAAGGGAACGAGAGCGGCAGAGCGAGGGGGGCAGGAAACGCATCGCCTGTGCCGCCAGAGCATGTCCTCATCCACTGCCGCGGTCGTGCAATTTCAGGTGCAATGCCAGCTTTTCGAAGACATCTGTTGTATGGTTGGTTTTGTTTTGTTTTTTGTTGTTTTGTTGTATTAAATGTTGTTAATGTCTGTTTCAAAAAGACAAAATCTTTCCCAAGGACTCGGGGAGCGGTGGATGTGGATATCTGCCCGCCCAGGTGGGCGGGAAGTGATCCAGATCCACCCTTCATAGGGGGAAAACAAACCTACCTCGCTTTTGACCACCCTCGCTTCCAAGAGATACCAAGCGATGCCAAACTACGGCCTGTACTGGTCAGGCCGCTTGACGAGGAGGCGCGTGGTATGACTTGGTTTTTCCTGGAAGCGAAAGCGAGGTAGGTAATTCACGCTCTGAATTCAGACTCCACTCTGGGGCGAGGCTCCGACGCGGTGGATGTGGACGTCTTCCGGCGGTGGATCGCGTCCTCTGGAGCCAGTCGAAGGGCATGGCCGCCATGCCGTACGCCGTGTAAAACACCCACCCGACCACTCCCACGGACGTCAGGCACCTCTAGAATGGGAATGATGTCATGATTGGATTAGCTCAGGATGCGTTTCAAGAGCTCCAGGGAATCTGACGGCCTCGCTTCTGCAGCGCCTAGGGAGAATAAAAAATGTGAGAAATCCTAGAAATCTTCGAACGTATCTCGAGAAATGCGTCCCGCTACTCACAAAGCACCTACTTGCAGATGGCCTGGATCCGCCGCGGGGGATTTACGATCCGTCACAGCAGAGCGAACATGTGCTCGGGCGCTTGCGAGTAGGCACTTTGCGAGTAGTGGAACGCGCTGGGTATCATTATCATGATGTCTTGCAACTCCGAACCTCGCGCGACGGGCCCGGAGGTGAGCACGGGCGGCGACGGCAGGGAGCCTGGCGCGATGGTCGAGCGCGCACGGACCAGGACTGGCCTCACGACATCGGCCCTGCATGCCCAGGTGCGTCCAGGAAGAGGGCGCCCAAGAGGTGGGCCCGCGGAATACATGCCCGGGGGGACTTCCGGGAGGAGGGCGTCCGAGAGGCAGGCTCGCACGGCATGGCCGGAGGCACGTGCGCGGCCCAGGGGGAGCCAGGGAAACAGAGAAGAGGCACCACGAGATCTAGGGGAGGCATCAGAGAGAGAGGCAACCTGCGAACTGAGGAGAGGCAAACTGAGAAGAGGCAAACTGAGAGGAGGCAGACTGAGAAGAGGCACTACGACGCATCAAACTGAGAAGGGTCAAACTGAGGAGAGGCACTGCGAGATCAAACTACGAGATCTACGGCCCTGGCCCTGGTGTCTCCCCCTGGTCATCACCCCTTCTTGGCCGCCCCCGGAATGCCCTGAGATCCAGGCGGTGCACCTTTTTCCACACCGAACGGCTTCGCACGGTTTCGGGCCTCGGAACAATCACGGGTCGATCTGGATCTGGCTCGAAAAATGCAACAGAAAAGTCTGGTCTGGGGCTCGGGCCGTGATTTGTCGCAATGTTTTAAAGCCCCCACGGCGGGGTCGGAGGGGACTGCCCTCCCAAGTCAAACTGCCTGTCAACATCCTTCCGGCGAAAAGCCGATCCTGGGAACCGCGTGGGCCGTCCTTGTACACCCCGCGTTCTTCGAGTGCGTTTCCTGCAATGTAGCACCTCCTCCTCCTCCTCCTCCTCCTCCTCCTCCTTCCCTCCTCCCTCCCTCCCTCCTTCCCCCCCTCTCTCCCTTCCTCCTCCGCCTCCCACCTCGTCCCTCATCTTGCTTCCTCCTCCACCTCATCCTACGCGTCCTGCTGGGCACTGACAAAGCCTCCACTTACGCTTCACACTGAACGATGCACTATTCTCTATGTCTCGGGAGTCAATGTAAGATGAAGACGAAAACAACGATATCCACGCGGAGGACAAAAAGGGGAGGGACGAAAGGCGGGAGGACAATTATTCACTGCGTGGAGCTCCCCATATGTGCATCTATTCGCATGGACCTGTCCGCCGTGAACGCATACGCGCAAAAACTTTCGAATATAAGCGGGTTTCAGTTGTGACGGTCTGGACATGAATATAACTGAAAATGAATTAGAATGTGAATTAGCCTCAGTAGTACGAGCGCGTCTCTGCGCATGAGCCTGGGTCCTCCTGGGGCCTCCTGGGGCCTCCTGAAACCTACTGGAGTTTCCTGGGGCCTCCAAGAGCCTCTTGGGGACTCCTGGGGCCTCCTGGGACCTACGGAGGATTCGTGCCCCAGGAGAGGCCCAATATATAGCAAAAGACGTACATAAAACATTGCGGATTGGAGCCACAGGAGAAGGGGGCTATCTATAGGAACGCGCGTAAAACACCAAAGACTCGTGCCCCAGGTAAGACCCTATAGGAACATAAATAACAGGATAAGGACAATATATAGAAACATACGTATAACATCAAGGATTCGTGCTCCAGGCGAGACCCAATCTATAGTAGCATACGTAAAACACATGGGATTGGAGCCACTCCTGTTGCCTTCTGATGCCTCCTGCTCCTGGGGGCCTTTCGGGGCCTCCTCATGCCTTCCGAAACCTCGGCCTCCTGGGGCCTCCTGGGGCTTCCTGAGGCCTCCCGGAGCTTCCTGGGGCCTCCTAAAGCCTCTTGGGACATCCTGTGGCCTCTTGAGTCTTTCTGTGGCCTCCTGATGCCTCCTGGGGCCTAATGTGGTGTCCCGGGGCCTCCTGGAGCCTGCTGGAGCCTCCTGTGGCATCCTGAGGAGAATCTGCGCCCACGAATCTGGCCACCGATCGAGACACCCTCAAAATCTGGCCCACCTGGGGGGGTGAAAGTGAGCGCCTCGCTCGAGACATCCTCCAAATCTGCTCCGAAAGCGAAGGATGTTAGAACAACAAATTACTCGACGCGGGGCTCCCCATATGTGCAATTCATTATCTTGGTACGTATTTCTCTTGATGTCTGTCAATGAGCGCCTGTGTGCGAGGGCGAACCGCTCGCTCGAGACATTCCCACAGTCTGCAAGCATGAGCGCGACCAATAGCCAATCTGAGAGCCACTGATTCTGAGTGTGAGTTAATCTGGGTGCGATTGAACCTGGGTTTGAGTGGGTATGCGTGTGAGTGAATATGAGCGCGAGTGCGTCTGTGTGCGAGTGGGTCTGAGTATGGACGAATCTGAGTGTGAGCCAGTCTGTGATTGAGCGGATCGCAGCATGATGGGTCTGAACATGAGTGAATCTGGGCTTGAGTGGGTCTGAGTGTGAGAAAAAATGTGTGTTAATGAATCTGAGTGCGAGTGAGCCGAGTGTGATTGGGTATGGATGTGAGGCAGTCTGAGTGTGAGTCGGTCTGCGTTTGAGCGGACCGAAGGATGATGAGTCTGAGCAGGAGCGGGTCTGAGTATGAGTGGTTCTGGGCGTGAGTCTGAGTGTGAGCAAGTTTAAGTATGGATATGAGCGAGTCTAAGTGCGAGTGAGCCTGCGTGTGACTGAGTCTGAGTATGAGTGAGTATGAATGCAGAAGAGTGAAGGAGAGCGGAGAGCGAAGGAGAGTGAGGCGGAAGCGTTTGAGTAAAACCTAAAGCCTTGGAACATCGAACCTCGATCGTCTGGCCCTGGCTACTCGAGTTGCCCACGTCCTCCTCCTCCTCCTCATCATCATCATCATCATCATCATCATCATCATCATCCCCTTCCTGCTTCTGCTCCTACCGTGTTCATGCTGTCCTCCTTCTCCTCCTCCTCCTCCTCGTCCTCTTCCTCCTCCTCCTCGCTTCCTCCTTCTCTTCCTCCTCCTCCTCCTCCTCCTCCTCCTCCTCCTCCTCCTCCTCCTCCTCCTCCTGGGAGTGCTGAAACCAGCAAATCGCCTGAGACATCCTCCCAAAACTGCTCCGAAAACGACAGATGCCCAGCATCATAACGGCCAAACCGCCTGAGACATCCCCGCAAACTGGGCGCGAACGTCTTCCAAATCTGCTCCGACAGCGAAACATGTTGGAAGAGAAAATGGCCAAACCGCCTGAGACATCCCCACACATCCCGCGAAAGGGGCCGAGTGAAATACCCCCCCGCCGCTCCCCTTACAGTACTGAAACCAACGAATCGCCGGAAACATCCTCCAAATCTGCTCCGAAAGCGAAACATGTTGGAAGAGAAAATGGCCAAACCGCTTGACACATCCCCACAAAATCCCGCGAAAGGGGCCGAGTGAAATACCCCCCCGCCGCTCCCCTTAGAGTGCTGAAACCAACGAATCGCCTGAAACATCGTCCAAATCTGTTCCGAAAGCGAAACGTGTTGGAAGAGAAAATGGCCAAACGCCTTGAGACATCCCCACAAAATCCCGCGAAAGGGGCCGAGTGCAACACCCCCCCGCCGCCCCCCCTTAGAGTGCTGAAACCAACGGATCGCCTGAGACATCCTCCAAATCTGCTCCAAAAGCGAAACGTGTTGGAAGAGAAAATGGCCAAACCGCCTGAGACATCCCCACAAAATCCCGCGAAAGGGGCCGAGTGCAACACCCCCCCGCCGCTCCCCTTAGGAGTGCTGAAGCCACAGAATCGCCTGAGACATCCTCAACATCAGTGTGTGTGAGTCATCCGATGAGTGGACATGAGTGAGTGTAGTGAATGTATGAGTACAAGTACGAAGCAGTCTGAGTGATGAGTGAGTCTGAGTGATGAGTGAATCTGAATGATGAGTGAGTCTGAGTGATGAGTGATGAATCGAAGTCATGACCGAGTCCGAGTGATGAGTGGGTATGAGTGATGGGTGAGTCTGAGTGATGAGTGGGTCTGAGTGATGAGTGAGTCTGGGTGACTGACTGCATCTGAGTGATGAGGGAGTGTGAGTGATGACTGAGTCTGAGTGCGTCTGAGTGAGGAGGTGAAATGGTGTTCTGTTCTCTCGCTGTTCCTCCGGCGCGGTCCACCAATAACAAGAACCCCATACTTAGGATATGGGGAGCACACAAACCACTTGAGACATCCCTACAAAACGGCCGCGAACGGGACAGTGAGATAACCCCTGGCGGCTCCCCTTAGGGGTGTGAAAATGATCGCGTCGCTCGAGACATCCTCCAGATCTGCTCCGAAAGCGAAGGATGCTGGGACAGAAAACAAACAAATTGCTTGAGACATCCCCACAAAACGGCCGCGAACTGGGGTGCGAAAGTGAACCCAAGGAAACGACGAGCCAGCGGACGCTGGTAGTCAAAGACAGCAACGACTCGACAGAGAATACAGGGTCTGCCTGGTCCAGACTCGCGAAGACGACGAAGGCGGAAGTGCTCTCAATGAAACGGGGCGGATAAAGCATCTCCGCCTTCTTGGATCCCAAGAACGAACCATGGCGGCGCGGCCAGACGATCACACCTCGGGGCACTGACGAAAAGCAGCTCTCCGGTCCAGGCCGCGACGCGCGAAACGCGATATCGATTATTTTCGCGCCCAGCCCATGGGGGTGACCGAGTGGAAACGCACCAAGATTCCGAGACGCGCCCAGCCGTGGCGGCGAGGGACGACGGGCCCCGCGAAAGCCATCTGCTGGCGGGCAACAGGCGGCG